GTGATTGAAGAACTCGTTATTTACCAAAAAAAATACCGAACACCAAAAATAAACGCTCTCTAACCGAAAACACCAATAGTCAACACCCTGTAGACCGAGAACCTTGAAGGTCAAATTGCTTGACTGAAATCCTTGAAAGTCAAAAGATTGACCGAAACCAATTGACCAAGAACTATATGTTTTGGCCGAGAACTCTTCCAAACCGAAAATCCCATGTCTTTTCACCAAAAATGTTACTTAGCTGCCAAAAACGTTGGGACCAAACCAAAATCGTGGTTTCTTATTGAGTTTCCTTACCCAATGAATCCCAAAATTTGGTAAATTACTAAAAACGTTTTCTAATGCAATGTCCTTCAAAATTAGTGAAGAAGACTAAGAAAAATGATGAACACGAAGAACAACAAATCCTTTTTCAATACAACCCAAAAACACCACAAACTAATTAATGTTTCGAAAAGCAATTGATACCAAAACAACCTTAAGTCGGTTTTTAATGCTATGATACCACTGGGAAGTCCCTAAACTTAGATCTTTTCAAGGTGTCAATGCAATTCTTTGAGTTAATGTTGAATCTTAATCAAACAAACATGTGAAACAAAAAATTAGATGAATCAATGAACACGTTTCAGTGAATGCACACAATTCTATTGAACAATTGTCAAGTACATTAAATCTCCTTTCAGCCGTGAGTCACTTGAATACTCCCAAAACGCATTGACATAGAACAGCTAAACACAGACCATATTTATACTAAACCAATAACCTAAATCCCAAACATAACAAGCCCATCGAGAACAGACTAAGCTCACTAGTGATTTCGGTCCAAAACCAAGAACACGTAATAAAAAGCATAAACCACAAAATATAGTCCAACAATTGTATCGCATCCATTGGAGATTTTCACACTTTATTAATTTTATGTTTATACTCTGTTTATTGTTTTGAAACAAATGGGCGTATTTAGATCTTTGGAATCGGAATTGGATCAAAAGCTTATAATATTAAATGAAAAAATTATTGTGAAATTTGGGATGTTACACTATAAAATGCAAATTCTTTCTCCCATTAATATTAACATGTACTAACATATCTAACAACTAGTACACATACATAGGATATTACATCAATATAAACACCATATTTCATATATTTTTTCAATTTTTGGACCAAAATACTCTTTACACCTACAGAGGTCTTATCACATTATATTATACATAATTTCAAGTCGTTACAAATTTGGTATCTTAAGATATTTCAAGATACATGATTTTGTGTTTTACTTATATTTGATGTATGAAGTTTTACACCCCACGTTCATATTATCAAAGCATCTTAAAAAAAGATAAAGAGGTTTTCGAAGCGTCTTCTTCGGTTAGAGGGATAATGGATGTATTGAAGTCTTTAAGAGACATGGGGTTTGATAAAACTTAATCGAATGTATTCTCTTTTTATCAAAAAAAAACATATTATTCATGTTGCAGATATGACCACAAATTATATCACTTCGACAGGTCGTAGGACCAAAGTTACTAATCAATTGCATTTTAAAGTTGAAACTTTTAACATGATTGTCAATATGCAAATTATAGAATTTGGGGACTGATTTAGTGAAACTGTCACCCAATTACTAGAATACATGGGGGATTTGAGTCATTATGATTCATTTGCTAAATTTGACAAAACAAAGTTTTTAAAGTCGAGTGAGTTATAAAAAAAAATTTGATGATTCCGTGTGGATGCAACTTAATGGTGAACTTGATATATACTGTTACTCTGTACATAAAGATGACTGATTCACTAGTTTGAATAGAATTCCCGATCTTTCTCGTTTTATGGTGGAAGTGAGGAAAATCATTATTATTTTATGGTTTTTAGGTGGTTACATTTGGTTTTGGTTTTACCTGTCGCAACTGCAACAGTCGAAAGATGTTTTTTCTGCGGTGAAGCTTTTGAACACTAACTTGCGTAACAGAATAGGTGATGATTTTTTGAACGACATCATGATTTGTATTGTTAAAAAAATAAGCCTTAATGAAAGTGAAGACTGAAGATATAACAGATCTTTTTTTTTAAAATATGTACACTTAGATGTCAAATTTAAAATGTTAGTTCTAGGATTACTAGTTTGTTATTTTGATGTACTCGTACTCTTAAATTTTTTTAAGTTATTATATTTGATCGGAAAAAGAATTGATGTCATTATAGCTGTCGGTTCTAACGTATGTCTCTGATTTTAGACGTTCCGTTTGCAACCTTAAACATGGGCTAATTTCTTTCTTGATTAGTTTTTTTAATGTATTTTGACTATTTTCTATCTATGGTATATGGTGTTCTAGTGGATATATGTATATAACTATTATTTGAGATTTTTTTCAACATTAGGACATGTTTCGATTGAGTTAGGTATGATTTGATTTTACTTTCTTGGTGACAAATATGGGATTTAATTTCACTTGGATATCAGTTAAAGAGGATTAAGTTTTAACTTGAAAAGCGTCATCATTAAGTTGTAGCTAGGACTGTAAACCAACCAAACGAACACGAACAGAGCTTGTTCATGTTTGTTCGTTTAAGTTTGTCGAACAAATAAATGAACAAGAACGGATAAACAAACAAGTTTTTTTGTTCATGTTCGTTCGTTTAACAAATTGCATTGTTTGTGTTCGTTCATTTATATTCATGAAAATACTAAACGAACATAAATGAATAAAGATGGAAAAAAACCGTAATTGAACATATGATATATTAATATAATCAAACACAATTAAGCATATATGAACATAAAAGGAAGTTAGGTAAACGAACATAAACGAAGGTAAACAAAAAACATAAATGAACATTCACGAACATAATTGAACGAATGAGACCATTGTTCATGTTTGTTCGTTTAACTAAACAAACGAGAATTTGTGTTCATGTTCGTTCATTTATTTAATAAACAAATATAAATGAACTTCACGTCGAACGGTTCACGAACAATTTATTAAATGTCCAGTTCATTTACAACCCTAATTGTAGCGAGGATTTTATTAAGAGGATAGAATCCAAGCAAGATTGTTTAAAGGAAAGAGTATATATATATATATATATATATATATATATATATATATTATCTTATAAAAGAAATCCTACTATTTCTAAAAATAGATTGAATATAATAATATTATTTTTTTTAAAACGTTCAAATCATTAAACTAATAGTACAAGTAGTCATCAATAAAATAATATTAAATTTTAACCTGTGTTTTGAATCCTTATATTTCTCAACAAATTTTATCTCCTTCCGTGAATTTTGGTTAATTCAAAATTTGAAACCATCAGAAATACATGTTAATTTAAATATCCCTCCTGCAGATGACTCTTTCTTAACAAATTTTTATTTTAATCCTTACTTGTAATTGATTTCATCATTTTTAACTTTTTTTATTTTTATCTTATAAATATATTGGGTGAAGGCTTTATTATATCAGATATGTTCCTAAAAAGGTTTTTACTATGTTTATTTAATGTGTTGGCTTTGCAGGCTCAAAGAACTCAACCAAGAGGGCCAGTTAGAGCATTGTATTATCATTAGTTTGTATATTTTGGCATTTTACTTTTGCAATAAAGAACGGTTAAACACAAGATTTGACATGATTAAGGTAGTTTGTATATTTTTCATTTGGTTTAGTCTAAAAATGAAACATTTTTCATCATTGGTCCTTATAATATCAAGTTTCATCACATGGACTTCCTGATTACGGTGATTATTGTCCTTATTATAAGGTTCTATATAGATTTTGTTCAATATTTTAAAATTTCGAGAACTTAAATCAATATGAATCCTTGAATTACATACCATCGTTGAAAATGTTTTAATTTGTGACCAAACTTGGTTTAAAACCACAATAAACAAGTTGACACCTGAGTATTTTGGCCTTCTCAAAGGCCTATTTATCGACTTTTGAATCACAACACCTGATATTCTAAAGGTTTATTTTTATAAACTATTATTTATATACTTTAATATTTTAGAATATTTCACGTATTTTTCAAAAAAAATAGGATTTTTTTTATTTTTTTTAGTTAATTCAAATTCCGAAAATAATATTTAAAAAACGAATTTTTAGATTTTTCCATTTATTTTACATTTTAAAATTATTTTTCAGAATATGTTAGTGTAATATTCTATTTAGAATATTTCACGTATTTTTCAAAAAAAAAAAAAAAAAACGGGACTATTTTTTTGTTTTTTTAATTTTTTTAAAATTTTTTTAGTTAATTCAAGTTCCGAAAATAATATTTAAAAAAAAAAAATTTGGATTTTTCCATTTATTTTGCATTTTAAAATTATTTTTAGATTTGGTCTCACGGTCTCACAAAATTAGCATGGTCTCAAATGAACCTGAACATATATATATATATATATATATATATATATATATATATATATATATATATATATATATATATATATATATATATATATATATATATATATATATATATAATGAATTGTTTTAGCCGAGAGACGGTTTTAAGCAAAACTGTATGTACGGATTATGATTATGTTGAATGTTAAATGGTTGGCGGTTTAATATTATATAATTGTATTAAATCTTTATATAGCTTGCATACTCTTCAATATGTTTAGTGGAATTTTAGTTGACGTTACTTGTTATTTTCTTTTAGTATTATGATATGTATTTTTAATAAATTTATAGATATTTCTCTTTAGCCATAAGAATAAATGCATTGTGGTTGTACCAACATCCGGTACAATCATAGGGTATCATAAAACACTTTCATCGTGGACATCAAATACCTTTAGCCCGACGTGATTATGTGTAATGTAGAAAGTGATTATGTGTTATGTAGAAAGTAGTATCTTAGTAGAGCCATAGGTAAACGATTTTAAATACACATACTATAATTTTTATTCAAACAAAGTTATTGAAGGTAAATAATACGAACGAATTTATTCAACACAAGAAACAAAAATCAAACTCTTCGAATATAACTTACAAAGCGTCATTGGAAAACCACCTCATAAGCATCATTAAACATTCATTTGGTTTATAATCCGGAGCAATGTGACCTCCTCCCTTTAAGAACAGAAATATATCAAACATCATGGTCATCATAACATGAAATGGTTCTTTTGCCTCATAAAAATGGCAAACTTTCTTTCTATTTCAAAAAGTTTACAAACATGTCATCAAGATGAAATGGCAAACTTTCTTTCTATTTCAAAAGGTTTACAAACATGTCATCAAGCTGAAATTAAAGTTTAAGTTCACAAGTATTGCTACATTGAAAAAAAAATAGTAAACCTTTTAAAAAATCCAAACATTACCATTTTCACGAGACAATAACACAATGTGGTGGAGAAGTTATAATGGGAGGAAGATTCTGTACCTTTATAGTAGCAAATGTTAAGTTGTAGTCATTATGTAAATATTTCATAGTGTAGCTGCAAGAAAATAAAATAGAAAATTAGATTGAAACTTTAGAAAAATTTATAGAATTTAATTAATCTGACGATAGTAAATCATGTCTCTCCTAATGGAAAACCAACTAACCCAGCTACTTGTCCATCGACAAACCAAGGTCCCCAATCATTATTGACTAATAAATTTAGCGATTCAATCCACTTCAATGTACTCAAATAGGAAACAGACATGTCTAGATCTCCACTGCTCAAACAAAGAAGGAAAAAAAATCCATAATGTAAAGGATGTTAGTTTGATTTCAAGTTCTATAAGTACTAAGTGCATGCATGAATAATTCGAGCAATATTAGTGACTATAGTTCCGTAAGCAATTAGTAACTAAATCAAGATATGTGACAAACACTTGGATAAAAATTAAGAAAGGTAACGAATAAAGGTAATACCTATATACAAGAGATCGGCAGTTTTTATTAGCAAGGTATCGATGATAGGCAACATTACTCAATATATTATGTGTGTATGATATGGGTTCCTTGTCATAATAAAATCTCAAGGTTTCATTGCATCCCACCCACTCAATGTCATTAAATACCTGGTGAATATAAGCTCATCGGATTATTATCTTAAATTAGAATATAAAAAGAAAGATAAGTGAAAATAGTGGTGGAAAGAAAGAGTTATTACAAACAACAAACACTTAATTATATTGAAAAAAAAAAATTGATGGTCGACGTGTCTCTCAACAATTGTTGGATAATCGTGTCAATATTATTAGTAAGCTTCGTGACTTGGAACAAAAAAAAATGTTAGAATTTAAGTCAAAAAGCTAAGGTTAAATAGACAATAAAAGGAGATGAAAACTTAAAATATTATCACATGGGATTATAAATAATAACTTAAAAAAAAAAAAAAAGACTACATCTTGCTATACGTGGAATAAAAAAAAAATATGGAGTTTGGATTCACGAACGTTAAAGATGCGTTTTTTGAGTATTTTAAAGAAAAATTCAAGAAATTTGATGGGGTGTTACACTTCAATACCGAAGCCAAAGGTTTAAAAGCCTGACTTCGGCTCAAGCGTATGCCGTCGAGTTGCCTTTCTCGGTTGAGGAGGTTTGTGAAGCCGTTTGGTCTTGTGGTGGTAATAAGTCACCAGGTCCTAGATAGTTTTTCGTTTCAGTTTGTGAAAAAAATTGGGATATATAGTTTGAAGATTGAAATTATGGATTTTGTAATCGAATTTTATTTGAAGCAAAGATCTCATTTGGATGTAACATTGTAACGTGTCCTTCATCACGTTAATTCCGAAGATTTCAAGCCCGATGGTAATTTCTGATTAACGTCCAATTACTTTAATTGGTTTGCAGTACAAAATAATTGTCAAACTATTAGCAAATCGGATTGCTATGGTGGTGAATAATATTGTTAGTTTGGAGCAATTTACATTGGTTAAAAATAGACAAATCATATGGGAGTGTGGATGGAACGGTTTGGTTCGGTTATTGGTCAAAACCAAAACATAACCATTACAATTGATTAATGTATGTCAATAACCATTGGGTAACGGTTAATATTGGTTTTGGATAATGATTTTAATAGATTAATGGTTATAGTTAACGGTTAATATCGGTTAACCATAATGCTCGGAAAATGACATAAAATAAAAATATGTTTCTATAAAATTGAAAAACATAAATCCATTGTTATAAAAAATGAGTGATTGTGTATATATAACTACATTGATAGTAAGTCTGATAATCGTGTCGTGTTCGGGTTTGCGGGTTTATGTGTGAAAAAGGTTGTATTGTAATCGGAAGCTTAAAAGCTTTCAATCATATGCTTCTTCTAAAATGGAAATTGAGGTTTATGTGTGAAAAAGTCGTGTTATAGTTTCATGTTGTTAAAGCAATCTGTGGGAAGAATGCATATATGGTGGGAGGTGTAAAACCTGGTGGGCAAGGTATTTGGCCGAGGATTATGATGGCTTGGCACAAAATGAATCATAAAGGTATTGTTCTGATGTCTTCTTTGCTTAGAAAAGTAGTTAGTGGCGAAGATATTATTTTTTGGGTAGATGTGTGGATTGGTAGTATTCCTGTAAGGATTCGTTTTGCTACTCTTTCGGTCTTGAGAACAATAAAGGATGCATGTTAAAGATCATTGGGTCGATAATCAGTGGAAATGGGATTGGCATAGGGACCTCCATGAGCAGGTAGAAATTGATCAATTAAATGCATTATTATCTTTGCTAAGTAATATCAAACTAGAAGATGGGTTCAATGCTTGGATTTGGGAATTTAGTAGTAATGGAAACTTTAATGTTAAATATACTAGAAAACAAATAGAAGATATTATTTTGCCGGATAGTGAAAGGGAGACTTCTTGGAACAAATTCATTCCTAGGAAAATTAATAATTATTTTTGGCGTTTATCGATAGATAAATTAATGACTCGTATTATTTTGGCTTATAGAGGTGTTGACATTCCTAATACTTTGTGTTCGTTGTGTAGCATGTTTCCGGAGACGATATCTCATGTTTTTTGGAATGCCAAATCGCTAAGAAGACGTGGAAGGCTTTGTCCAGATGGTTATATCTGGACATTCCATTGAAGTTGGGAATTATGAACTTAATTACGTTGATTGAATAGTTGGAAGTTTCTCAGATAAAGAAATAAATTACCGATGTTATAGTTAGATCTACTTGCTGGCTGATTTGGAATTACAAAAATTAGGTCACATTTACGGATTCTATTCGGAGAAGAGATCCTATATTTGATTCGATTGTTGATTTGTCTTTTTTTTTTTTTTTTTTTTTTTCGGTTTTCAAATAGATACCATAAGAATTTTATGTCTTGGGTTTCTAGGCTCCAAAACCCATTGAACTTAACGTCATTTCCCTAGCTTTTTGCTAGTTTCTGTTCATATTTCATTTAACTTTTCAAAAAGAAAACATTATTATCCTAAATGGTCAGGATGAACATGAGTATAGTTGATAATAAATTGAACATGAGTATAGTTGATAATAAATTGAACTGCATACAAACCTCACGGATGTGAAGAGCCTCTCGCACATCTCTTCTATTAGCCCACACATAGGCGTACATTGGTTTATCCTGTGACAAATATATATATATATGAAAGATAAAAGTCTTAAAAATTATAATCACTACTTCTTGAACATTTGTTATAACTAAGAAAAGTAAATTGGGTAATTGCATGTAATTTTTATTTTTACATTTTAAAGCTATTTTAATAAAGTAAAAACTTATCTATTGAAATAATAAAGTATATTTTCTAATATTAATAAAAGTAAATAGAATAAAAGTATTTAATTTAATGATATATAATTTTAAATTTGCATAACAATTATACTATACGTAAGAACATCTCTTGAATGCTTTGTATATTAGTAATTAAAATATAAAAAATTCATTAAAAAAATATTTTTAACTTACTATTTTTCGAAGTTCAATATATAATTTGTAAGATATTTAATTCCAACGAGACTATAAAAATAAATTATCATGAAAGGATACATTAAAACACACAATTAACTATCATCTTGGTGACCTAGTGGTAGAAAGGCTTGTGAAATCACACTCCAGTAGCGACCAAGTTCAATCCCTACTTGGTTTAACACAATTATTTTAAATTTTATTTAATTTTTTAATTTAAATATCTATAACTTTGGTGGAGTTATTTTTTAGTCTCACATAAGTCTCACGTATTGACGTAAACCATATTTGATACTTATATATGGTAGAAGTTTTATAACTTTCAATTTTATAATTTTTCATGACCATATTAATTTAAATATTTTTGAAGTACATTATATTTGGAAATTTTAGTTACATCAACACAAGAATTAAAAAAGAGGAATATTATTGATAAACCGAAGGTTTAATAGATATATAATTTTATTATTTATTGTATTTAATGTTTTAATTTGTTAATTTAAATATCATAACTTTAGTGGCGGTATTTGTTAGGTGAGCTGGTGTTTGATTTTTTGCAAAATCTTTTCCTGGCATTTTATGACTGCGTTGTGCAGATGGCATGAAAATATTTGGTCTCTGACTGTTTGTTTTTTAAAAAATGTATGTGTTCTCTTGTTGCCGCAGATATGGACCTATGTCTTGAGGCCTCTTCTAATTTTTTTTTTATTTGCCCCATATTGGATAAAAATAAACACCTTTAATTATGCAGCGAAAAATGCATTTAAAATTTGTTTGCCTCTTAAATTTCCTTGTCTATATTTAATTATGTATGATAAGTAGTCAACGAAATCTATAATAATTATCAATAATGTTACATATCTTTTTCTAAGAATTTCCTATAATGAAAATACACCACCCTTTTTATATTATACTATTTAATTTTCAAACATGTTTGGATAGTTTTTTATATATCTCTTTTTTTAAATAATTTTATATTTATATATTAAAAAAACAGTATTCATGTATTTATAGTATAATTGTATCATTTTAAACTTTATCAATATCACTCTATACTATACTTGATAGAAATTTTAAAAAAAATGTCTGCTCTTGATTTAAGAGTATGATTGTTTTATTGGTTGATAGTTTTATTTAGAAAATCTAAAATTATTAAATTATATATAATTAGTTCTTAGGTCTTTATATGCTTATATTCTTTTGACTATCCTTATTAACCAATTAAATCCCCTAAAATATATATTGTTCGAAAGAATGGTAGTACATCACGTCAGGAATACATGGCTCAACTACGAAATGAAATTGTTGAATGCAAAATATGGAATCAATAATTTACAAAAATTGTTATTATTGTTGTATGAATTATATTTTAGTGTTTTAAAACTAAAATTATATAAATTTCAGTATTGTAAAACTATTATACTTAATTTATTGGTTTTAGAATTATCGATTTACTATAATTAATTTGTTAAACTCAAATTGAATATTGTATTTGACTTTGATGTTTACTCTACAAATATAAGTCATTCAGATAATCTAATCTAATTATAATAGATGTATCTTTTATGACATGATCCATACTAGTTAATATGTTTTATATCAAATTTGTATCAAAATTTATTATTATTCATTAATAAGTGAAAATGACATAAGTAATTTATCTCTCTCTCTCTCTCTCTCTACACACACACACACACACACACACACACACATATATATATATATATATATATATATATATATATATATAAAGATTATAATTAAATATTTGTATTATGTGCAATGTATGAACATTCACCTCATATCTATCACCATATATGTCGAGTTCCACAACTATCTTAAGGAATGTGGAATTGTTTCACAATTAATTCCTCCCATAACACCATAACTGAATGGTGTAGCTATGAGGTGTAATCGAACATTCCAAGATATGGTTTGTTCCATGATGAGTCGACCTTCACTTCATATTCATTTATAGGGGTATGCCTTAGAGACAACCGTCCATATCGTGAATCTTGTTCCAACAAAGAAGGTTGGCAAACTACATCATTAGATGTGGAGAGGAAAAGCTCTCTCACTTGCACATATCAAGGTTTGGGGTTGTAAAGCACTCGTAAGAAGAGAGACACACGACAAACTAGAACCCAGAACCAAGAAGTGTTATTTTATTAGCTACCCACATAAGTCCTTTGGATACTTATTCTACAGACCAAGTGAGAACATGGTCTTTGTAGATACAAGAGAAGTCTTTTGCGAGAGAAAGCTCATATTCAAAGAGAACAGTAGGAGTGCTAGTGATCTTGAAGAAATTCAAGAGTCATCCAATGAAGGAACCTCATACAACTATGGCACTCAACATAAGGATAAGGTTCCAATTGAGCTAGTTAACAACTTATTACTCGTTCTTTGTTCGAGTAGGGTTAGCATGCCACCTGATTTCTATGGTTTCCATATTATTGATGATGGTGACATGTTTGTTAATAGTAGTACATTGGTAAATTTGTATGAACCTGCTAACTACAAGGAAGCTATGGTATTCCTCAAGGTTAGTAAATGGATGGAGGCAATGGACAGTGAGATTCAGTCCATGTATGATAACCAAGTGTGGAACCTAGTTGATCTTGTACCTGGTCGAAAGATAGTCGGGTAATAGATCTTCAAAAATAAGACTAACATGTATGAGAAAGTACACACCTATAAAACTAGGATGGTTGCAAATGGCTTAACTCAAACCTAAGGGATTAACTATGATGAGACCTTTTCAGCAGTAGCTAAGATAAAGTATATCAGGATTATGCTTGTTATAGTTGCATTTTATGATTATGAAATTAGACAGATGGATGTTAAAACTGCTTTCCTTAATGGGAAACTATCTGAGGACGTCTACATGAGTCAGCTAAAGGGTTTTGTATATGCCAGGTTTCCTGATATGACATGTAAGCTTGAGAAATCCATTTACGGATTAAAACAACCATCTCGCAGTTAGAATCTTTTCTTTCGTGAGGAAGTTAACGAGTTTGGGTTCTTTATATGTGACGACGAGTCTTGTGTATATGTCAAATCTAGGTGGAGTATAGTGAATTTCCTAGTCTTGTATGTCGATGACATACTACTTAAAGGAAATGACATTCCAACTATGAAATAAGTTAAGTATTAGCTTGGGATGTGTTTCGCTATGAAATATCTAAGGGGAGCGTCATATATTATAGCAATAAGGATTCATCAGGATAGAAAGAATTGTGGTCCAGAGTACATATTTGGATAAAATACTAAAGTGTTTCAGTATGGAGAATCCATAGAAATGGGAGTTGCCTATTCATAGTACTATCAATTTGAGTAAGACTTAAAGTCCAAGTACTGATGAAGAGATAGCTAACATAAGCCAAGTCTCATGTGCTTCAACTATAGGATAGAGCATGTATGTAATGACTTGTACTCGTCCGGAGGTGTATTATGATTTGAGCATGGTTAGTCGATTTCGGGGAAATCCTGGCAAAGCCCATTAGATTGCGGTGAAGAATATTCTTAAGTATCTACGAAGAACGAAAGACATGATCCTAATTCTTGGCAGTAGTGATACGTTAAGAGTAAGTGGTTACAGTAATGCCAGTTTTCAAACAAACCGAGACAACTTTTTCGCAGTGTGGCTGGGTATTCTTACTGAATGGAGGAGTGATTACTTAAAAATGTTCCAAACAAGAGATAGTTGTTGATTCCACGTGTGAGTCTAAGTACATTGCAACAAGTGAAGCACCAAAGGAAGCGGCTTGGCTAAAGAAATTTATCAAAGTTCTCAAATTCGTTCGAATTATTCAGGAACCCATGGAACTATTATGTGATAATGAAGGCACGGTTTCTTTGACAAAAGAACCAACGGATCATGGTAGATCTAAACATATCGACAGAAAGTACCATAACAATCAACATCGGGTAGAACAAGGACACCTTTTAGTGAATAGAGTATCATCAGAAGATAATGTTGCAGATCCTTTCACAAAGTCTCTAAGCAGGTTCAAACACTACTAGCATGCTAGGTGCATAGGCCTAAGAGACAATATTAGTTTTAGTAGTTAGGTGATATGTTTGAAACTTGTAACAAAATAAATGCAATTGATTTGGTCAATGAATAATAGAGAATTATTTATGAGTATCACACTTCCTTATTCAATTATTTATTCTTGTGTTTCTTTTTTGCATGTTTACACTTCCTAAGTAATTTGAATTATTTAAACTTCCACAGTCGTTCATGCTTTTGGAAGTAAGTAGTTAATTAAGGCTATCGTGAATCGATTATATATTGTCGATTGAGCTTAAGACATTGCAATATGAATTGCAACAATACCATGATTACTTTGAAAATAAGGATTTTATAAGTATTGGATAAACCTACGCTTATAGATTACTTCATGGATATTGTCACAAGTAATTCTAGGATGATGTTATATTCTATTCTTAAAACAAAGATATAAAGTTCATAGTTTAAGGATCAGTTATGCATTGGTTTACTCAAATGCATCTTATAACTAGATGTTATAAAGGGTTATTCCATGTGTAATTTGATGTGTGAATTGCATGAGTATATAGTCAAAGTAATTCATTCCTTTTTCCCTAATAGGAAAAGCAATATCATTAGGCCCCTCGATGATTTAATGCTGACTAAATATAGTGTTAGGCCCAATCAGAACTAATTGATGTGTTCAATTTGAAGTCCTATAAAGTTTTTGTAAATCGGGAAATCAGGAAACAGAATCTTCGACAATGAGATTGATTATGATCTATGAATCGTGTCCATTCAATATTTTGAAGAACAAAGGAATAGGTTATTACTTATCTTAGGGCCAATAGTTTATTTGAATCAGAGTTTGGCAGTGACTTTGGAAAGCACACTTTGGAAGTGACTTTTCAATTGTAGTTACAGACTTATCCAAATAGGAGTCTCTTGGACTAAGGTGTCTAAGCCAATAACTAAATTGGTGTATTCTTTAATTAAAAGCAAAGACCTTTTGGGTTGTCCTCATAACCGATAA